GATTAGGCTATTAGGATCCCTCGTATTGGCAAGCATTATATCATTATACAATACCGTTCATTTATGGCACTCCTAATTATTTATTGCCTATAGAAATGTTTGACAAATATCCCGAACTTCTAACCATGGAAGACTAATTCACTTGATAGATCGTATTAAATTATTAAAGAAATTATATAATCATAATCATGCAACACGTTATACATACAAGCATATAGTATGTATAGTATACCTAGTACAATATGTACTAATTATAAGATTTATGAACTGGAGGTTACATACGAGTACAAATGCAACGACGATACGTAACTATGATACTCAATATTGATACGCAACGGTGATATGATACAACTGAATGCACGCCTTTAGTTTGTTCGTTCGCGAAAGTTTATCGAACTTGTGGCGCGGATTGGAGAGATACAGTCGCGCTCGCTCGCGTTTTCTTTAACGAAACGAACGAACGAACGGGAATGCATAAATATTTCCGGCGGTGCGTGTTCCAGGGAGGATTCCCGATGCGACTTCCGGCTGCGAGGCGAGCTAGTGTCCCTAATTACCGTGTCGGTTCATGAATACGATTGCCGCGCGACGCTGCTCGCCGCGGCACGGAAGCTAGCGTGGCGTCACCGGTTGTTACTCCGCTCATGAATTTATGTATCTGCATTCTCGAACGCGGTTCGAGGCACCCCGACGCGGAGGACGAGGAACGGACGAGAAATAAGGAGAAGTCCTCTTCGTTTCTTCTCCTCCTCGGTCTCTGCCCGTTTCCGTTTACCCTTTAGCACGCCTCGGTGCCCTCGCACGATGTCGCCGATTTCAGACCGGATGAACGCGACAGTTCCTTGCTGCGTTACATACAATGGTCCACCAGTTGAATTATTAGTTAAAAAAAGAAAAAAGATATAATTAAAAATGATATTGAACTCCAACTTTAGAATTAGAATTTTTAAGTTAAAGATCCAGGACTTTATTAGACGGTACAGTTTCGCTCGCGAACACTTCAGAAATCTTTATTATATAATTTTGGTTCATCTTATAATTAATCGGTGTGACTAATCGAGGTTCATGTACAGCATGTGTTGAAAAAATCAGTTTACAATATTTTATTGCATCGTATTATTTAGTAGCCTGTTTTACACATAATATCTATTAACGACCAAAGAATTGTTTGTAACTTTGTAATTAAAGATTGCTGATTAAGAAGAACGCGTCTCAATAGGTTATTCGCAGAGGGGAAAAGTATTGAATTGGATTGTGATGCAAATGGAAATGGCAATAAAAATCCGGTTTAATTTGGCGATAAATCGAAGCGGCTCGGAGGAAAATCGTAAGATGCACGCGAACGCGGCTGAAGAAGGGACGTAGCGCACGGAGCGTATTATACGGGTGGAAGCCAATTATTCGTGCGGCTGACCCTGAAGGCAATGATAACTGCGGGCGGCGCATAATTTTGAGTACCGCGAGCCGGCCGCCAGCCGCGGCATGGCAGTGCGCAGTACGTAACTCTGCCGGTCCGGTAATGAAGATACAACCGAGCCGACTGCCGAGACATCTTTACGTCCGAGGAACGCTTTGCTTGTTACCCGCACTTATGATCCCAGACCGGGGGACCACGATACTCCTTGTCCCCCTTCACTCGTTCGACGTCTCCACACATCACCAATGTCGATTTCTTCCTACTTCCCGGTTGTCCCTTTCGATAATTTTCATGCAATTTTCTTGAGAAGTCGCTGACTTCATGTTCTAAGCTTCAAGAAGGTCAGAATTTGCTACATTTTACCGATACAAAGGAGCTTTTAATCTGAAGACTTAGCAAATGAGACTTGCGACAAAAGCAAAGTTATCAAATTTTATGAAGAAACTAATGTTGCAACACGTCAATTCCAACTTTTGAATATTTACCGTAATTGAGAAAATATGAACGAGCGATGCGTTTTTCATAAAAATCGAAAGGTCGAAATATGTACATAATTTATAATAATGATAAATGTGATTTATTTGTAATTACGTGAAGCAATGAACGAACGCGAAATATGTTTCCCATTTCGTAACATCGACACCGATGAATTCGCAACTGAATATTTTTTCGCCATGCTGCTGACAGCAGGACACGAATTATTATGGTCTCGCAACGCGAGAGGGATGTGATTAACGGTTACGCGGGCTCAGTTTTCCAAAGACAATTATTTAACTAGTCAATATTGAACCACGTTCAATTAGGGGCGAATTGAAATGAACACCGCAGAACACGACTCGATCCCCGACGCTGATACAGCGATACCTACCACCGCGGCGGCTCGTTTTAAATCCCGACGTGCCGCGCACCAACGGACCACGCGATCAGTAAATGAAAATCTGTCGGCGAAACGCCTGGAATATCGAATATCGAATAACATTTATTCGACCAAAGTCCAAAGGGATATATACGTTCAAAACGAAATTCATGCTGTCGTTTTTTTATCCTATACACTCTACAAAATATTTTACATGAGAGTATAAAGGTATTACAAACAAAGCAAAACTGTTATACCCCTACAACCTAAGTACTTAATGTGCATTGGATATGTTTCCATATCGCACCATACGTGATACTTAATAATTGTACTCAATAAATGTACATAAACCCTCGCAATTAAAAAATTTGTAACGATCATTAAATTTGAAAAGCTGTCCACGATTTCATGATGTAATTAGAATCATAATTTATCTTTATTTATTGTGTGCCAGGCTACATATTTATACAACATATAATACAGTAAAAAATTATCCGTGATTTCAAGTACAATTTTATTGAATCCATTCATGTTTTGTAGCATCATTATGATAATATTCTTATGTACTATACATGTATAACTTATTGTGTGATTATTATTGTAACTTTCTAATTGAAGCAAAAAGGTTGAATCCCGGAGCGAGCCAAGTTTCGCACAGTCGCGCGTTTCCTTCGTCCCTGCGACCCCTCCCATCCGTTTCATTTCTCTGTTCTCTTCCTTTTTTATCGCCCTCGCTCCGTTCTCGCAGCGGCGGCCAGCAACCTGGCCTGACGGCTGCGCGTAAAATTGGCCGGAACGCATTTTTCCATTAGGCCGGTGCCCGAGCCACGTTACAAATTATAGGTGTACTCTTATTGGAGAGCCCGATGAAACGAGGGAACCGATACGCTCGCGCCCGTTTTCCTCCCCGCGCCGGCTGCCCTCGGATGATACCCGTCTGAAAAAATCGGATTTCGGACGAGATTGACCGCTACCGCGTGGCGTTGGGACCAGCTCTCGAAATTAATGATTGATCGAGTGTCGACGCGACGAGTAAACTTTGATTAAGTACCACGAGAACAAAAAGAAACGTATCACTCAATTTTATACTACGAGAGTAACTTCAACATATAGATTCTATAGTAAAATGAACGTCCCTAATGATATAATGAGAACTATAAAAATTCAATAAATAGACCTATACCTTTTAACGAGCAGCTTTTTGATTAGATATTATTTTGACACAGTTAAGTTAGTCAGCGTAAATGTACTAAGATAAAATCTGCAATGTTGTGTAAATAATTTTTGCAACACTCCATCGTAACTGTTCCGACAATTCCCGCCAGAAGCGAGCTTCGAAGTGGCTTCGCGTACATAATAGATGCGCCACGGCGGCGGTACCACGAAGAACCGAATGGAACGTAACGTAACATAGCACATTCTAACGTGTGTATGTAACGCAATAAAATGGTAAAAGTAGCCGCGGGCCATCGAGCCGGGTCGTTAGGGACACGCCCGTGGAAAATACGGGGTCTCGCTTGACATTAAAATCGCATTTGCCGCTTTTCCACGGAATCCGCGCCGGGCGAGATGGAGAGAGACAAAGAGGGCCGCTTGTTCATCGATTACCGGCCCGTCTCGGTCGCGATTCGCGACGTCCGCCACGACATTAAACGTAATTTGACGGCGACATTTACGTCACGCGTTAAGTGATTCCGCTGCATCCCTGACGGATCGCCCGCCATCTAATTCAATCCTGTGGGAGCGCGTAATGCCGCTCGAGATTTATGCGAGTTGCTCGCGGTGCGTTGGTGTGTCCGTAATCGAAACGAGCATCAAAAGAAATTCGTTTAGAGCTAACTCACTCGATTCTGGACACACGTATAGTATAGTCAGTAGAAGGACTTGTTCCTGTGTGATTTGTCTACATGTGCCTTCAGGATCCAATTAAATCTATTCTGAATTTTCATTTCTCAACAATTTGTTTTGTAAGAAAAAACGTAAAGGAAGAGAAACCGATCATTTAAAATCCATTCCCATTCTCTAGTATCTTCCTCGCGTAACACCTTAAAAAAGAACGTCCACGCTTTTACGACTAATAAACTACCGCTGATAACGCGTAGCTCGGCGCAATTTTCTTTTTACACCCTCGGCGGAGGAAAAGGAACGTGCACCGCGTACTCCGTTAATGACACCAAATGAAAATATGAATATTCTTAGGGAGAAGGTTAAGAGGCGAAAGGCGAACCGAGTTGTATGGAGGCGCGTACCGTTATATGCGTGGCACCGATTCCACGGGGAGTCCTCGCGGCATTAAAGCGCTAACGATCCCGAGGGCAGATTCCCGGCTGGACGAAATATGTACGAGGCTAGTCGTTAGGGGCTCGGTCGTGTTAATGATCAAATCTTTCTGTCCCTACTTTTTTCCCCTGCCTCCTTTTCCGATGGAACTTCTCTCGCGGCTAAAAGGATTCGACAATAAACAACGTAGAACTCCCGTGATTAGCCGTGCCGCAGCTTAGAAACACTTCTTGCTTGACTCTGCTTACTGATTCAGTAAATAAACTGAATGCAGATAAATTAACCATTATTATACAAAACGCTTATAAGAAAATATACTTTAGACAATCTTAAAATAAAAAATGTAATCTATACTTTAAAAAGTTTTATGAATTAAGTAACAACACTTTTTAATTAAACTGACATAATAATAAGAAAATTTTACCATGTCTTTCCTCATTGTTGCAGAGAACCAAAAGAAAGGGTTCGCAGGAGGGGAGGAGAGTTTCGTCAGTGGATAAGCAAGAAACTCGGCTTATCGTAGGTTAGTGTATCTAATTACCCGTGCCGTTTTACGTCAACGATTTGCAGTGATTTACGGCGAAATTGTAGCGGCGACCTTCGTCCAGCCGGCGCTGGTTCCGGGACAAAAGGTGGGGAGGGGTAGAGGGCAGACGGGAAAGGGAGAACGAATCAGCTAAGCGGTCCGCGGCTAAGAAAAAAAGAAACGCTAAAGGATTCGGTCATTTATCACGGCGCTGCTGCCTCCGGGGCACCATCCGAATGAAAAGGGGTGGAATATAATCCGTTGGACAGACTAATCGCGGACTAACTATCCACATATTATCTACAATAATTTCATAGTACTGAAACGAAGGGTGGGGAGTTCTACATCTTCTCCTGTACCGTATCGAAACGCGATTTCGTAGCGAAATGGTTTATTAGAATTACGGGTGATTTCTTATCTTAAAACGTTGTATCAAGCACGAAACAATGTTTTGCTATTATCTTGGATGAAGATCTTTTATTTCCTTCATAATAGAGTATGTAATTCTTATGGTTTTATCACATGAAACCTAACTGATATTCTATACATGAAATTTATGTATTATAATGCACTGCGGTACTAAAAAGCTAATAGAAACAAAAATAACATAAAGGAATCAAAGTCGTAACGTAAACCAAACGATGTACGATCAACGAACTAGTAATTAGAACTGCTTATGCGTCCGGACATAATGAAATTTGTTTGTCAATTAAATGTCGATGCCGGTAAATTTTCCGTATACTTTACCCCATGGTGGGCGCGCTAATTAATTTCCACGCTCGAGTTCATTTTATTTACGCGCGACAAGCCTCAAAATTGCAGCGGCACCGTCCGCGGTAGTACTCGTCTGGCTGATACATATTTGCGCGCGATGCAAACCGCAGCGTGCAAAAATATCTCGCCGCGAATTGGGACCAGTGAGTTTCGCTGACGAAAACATCGCTCTGTAAATTGATCCCAGACCGAACGGATGCAATGCCCGGAATCCGTTCGCATTTCCAAGGCTTTTCTTTATTTGAAAACACAGTAAAAAATATTTTTCATTGTTACGTTCCGGTTTCTCATGGTTCCTATCTTGCATAAACAAAAATTTAAAAAGCCGCTGTTTTGTTTTAAAATATAGAAGTGAAGAAATATAGAAGTGGTATGTATTGACGCAATTTAAACATCATGTGAGAAATATTTTTAATTCGGATACAATAAGAAAAATTGTAGAGTATAACATCGATATCATGTTATCTGACCTCGTGACAGGAAGAAGGAAAAGTTGTCTGGCTTAACTAAATCTGGCGTATTAAATCTTGAAAGGAGTAAGGGGGCAGGACAATTGGGACATATGGAAGGTCGTTGTAGAGGTATACGCGTCAGGGTGCACATGTAACGCCTTGAAATTACAGAGTGGCCAGGATCGATCCATCATAACTGGGCCCATGGGACTTACGGTCCCTGCGCGCCGCCCCATCGTTTAAGTCGTTAGCAATTTCCTGCGCGGGACTATTTTCGGGCCCAAATTCCATATGGCTCGATAATATCCGATAATGCGACCGCAGATTCGTTTTATTTCGTCGACAGTCACGTCCGGTTCATCGGATTATTCGTACAACATTCAGTCTTCAACACGAATGTTTACTATTTAGAATTTGGATTATACATGTTTTTTCTTCTTGCAAAAATAAACGCGATACTTTCGTACGCAAACAATGTATTTTTGATTGAATAAATTTGTTCTTGACGTTATTTTTGTTTTATACATTTTCTATGCACTCGACGTTCACTATTTGCAATTTCATTTGACTTCCTTGAAATCTAATTTAAGAAATCTATTATAATGTAAATTAAGGACTCGGAGGTATTCAAATCATAGATTTATGCTTTAAAACTACAATCATAATTTCAATAGTTCTCTCATAAAGAATTTAAATCTTTTTAGAGAATTACAAAAGTTTATTTCGCAGATTCTGCAGTTTCGGAGTTTAATTAGGATTTTCTCCAAACTCTAAAATTCTTGAACTCTTTGGATACTTTTTGATTATTAATTAGACTCTATTTGGAAACGACTCGATTACTTTATCCAGACAACAAGACATTGAAAAGATACTGCTGTACGTATGCACCAGGTGGTAGCAGCGTCCAGTGCACTTAAATGCGGAAAGTACTCCACCGATAACAAAATGATAACATCAAAATCAATTAAAAAAGCATTCATTGTATTGAATGAATAGTTTTACTCATTTAATTAAGTTACATGAATATCATATGAAATTCTTTTGCATTTTGTACAATTCTATAATGAATCTGTTTGTATTCATCTGATAGCCAATTTCAGGCAATTTGGAATAAGTATCTTATGTGATAAAAAATATTTTGGATATAACAGATAATATCGAAACGAAGGCTGTCTGTACACAAACGTTGGTTCAGGCGATAGAGCTAAACGAGAAAGATGTACAAACGGATGAATTAGCAGCTGAGGTGAATCAGCTACCACCGTCGTGCAAACACATGGAACGAAAAAAGTCTTCCACATTTTGTTCTAGTAACGAAGACCTTGTCCCTCAGTGGTTGATCGAAGAAGCCCTTAATAGGGGAAACGAATTATGTAAAGAGTACGTATAGAAAAGTTATAAAACAACGAGAATATTAAAAATTTCGGTTATAGTATATTATGACCAGTAAATTTACGCATTAGTCACTGATTTTTAAACATAATGTGCAAGTATATGATTTATCGTGTGAAAACACATAATAGTGAATCAATCTGAATATTTCACGAAAACGAAACGAACTCTCCGCACATAACACACAATCACATACTCCTGTGAAAAGGAGCACGCAATGCAAATTGAATAAAACGTCGGAACCCTGGCGCGATTGAAATTTTTTTCCGCGAAAAACAAACGACAAACTCTTGCGCAACAATATCAGCCGGGCGAACTAACGCAAAATTTTCCTTTTCCGACCGCAACGGAATATCCACGTCGAATCGAATCAGCGCAGCGAGCGACAGACAAAAGGGGGAATATCGTCGAACAAGGAGGTCGAGTGAGTTTATATGTAGAATACATAAAAGGCAGTTTTTTTAATCGAAAAAGTCCGCGGCGATATATCCGAGGCTCTCTTGAATTTTCGAGAAATTCGATCGCTCGGAAATGTTGGAATTAATGCATAACTGGTAGTGGATTAATGGAATTTATCGTCAAACTTGCGTCTGTTATGCAAGCGAAAAAAACAACTAGTTGGCTCTGTGATAAAATGGAATTTTCTGAATTGTTTTACATTTGACGTACAATAATTCTCGTCGAACAGTTATTGGATTTTTTACCGTTTTGCACTTTGGAAACGATCAGTATTTCATGTAATTACTATTTTTATTAGTGAAGTCTTAAAATGCCAAAGTCTCAATGCCAAAGTCTCATATCTTTGCACATGTGTGTAACATGGGATGGGATGTTCGATCTTAGTTACACTACTTGGCGAGCCTATGTAGTATGAATACTTTTTTTTCTCGCATTTACTAAGATTTTAATTCTTATGAAACTGTGTATGTAGATTTTATATACGACTTATTTGATTAGGTATGAGATAATTATATCAGACCTTGAAGCGAAGCTTGCTCATACAAGGGAGAATCTCGAAGAAGCCTTGAAGGCAAAGTCTGCCGTGAAAGAAAAATATAAAAAGTAATATCGCTATTCGTCTATCTGTTGTCAATGATAATTGGTGGAATTAAAAATATATGGAAATTAGATTTTTGGAGGAGGCAAAAGCGGAAGCTCATAGAGAGAACGAGGCATTGCAAGAAAGAATCGTGCGGATTTGCACTTCCGTTCTAGAGAACTTCGGTCCTCGTTCGATGAACAGAAGTTGCACTTATCAAATTAAAGCTCACAAAAAATTGAAATGCCGTGAAAAGATTTTAAAGAGATTGTATAAAAAGGTACGTATAAAATCAGTTTGTTTAACTCCGTATGAACACGGAACATCTTTCAACAAAACAGTCAAATAAAACAGAGATAATGATTGATTGGATAGCTCGGGGGATATAATCTAAACTATGTATGTCGAGTACAGACAGGTAGAGTAGAAGGTTCATTTTACGTTTTCCATTTTTGTCAGCTGCGAATGGCAGTGGCAAAATCGAACAAATTGGAGCGGGAATTGGCGTCGACGAGGAAGAGACTGGAAAGCAAATCGGAAGATCACGAATCGATCAGCAAATGCTTTGAAGAGCTCAAACAAGAGATGGACGCGACCGAAACGAATCTGAACAATCTGATTTCGGAGAATCTAGCGTTGAGGAAGAAGATGGAGGAAACGCGAAACTGGCTGCAAAGCACCGCAGGAAAGGAGCAACAGGCGAATCGCTCGCAAGACGTGTACAAAAATAGGGAATTGAACAATCTCAAGAAGAAGAATGAGGAAAACGCGACCACTATTGCTCAGCTCAAAAACAAGTATCAGATATTTCTTTCTAATAGTAAAAGAAAGGAATGAGTTAATTTAGATTATGAATTTTCTATAACACGTGTTCAAAAAAGACCATTTTCGGCACCTATAAAATGGCATTTTCTATTTTCGCTCCACTTTATAGGCATCGGAGTCGGAAATGGTCTTTTTTTTATACGCGCGTTATATAAAGTGAACTAATATTGCAATGCTTAAATGCTAATTCTAAGTGCATTTTTTCATGTATTTAATTTTGTACAAAAATCTACAATTTACTGAATAGCAATTTTCAATCGTCACACTTCTGTTAAATTTTTTATTGATACTAGAACTAGATTTATAATAAAACTAATATTTGTATATGAAACTTAAGAATTAATGATTGATAAGATTTAACAATTTAGACTGGCACGAGCAGAGTCAGCAAACGCCAATAAGGGTTTTTTACTGAACAGTTATAAAAGTCAGTTGTCAGAATTGAATAAAGAGAAGAATCAATTGTTAGCTAACATAAGTAAGCTGGAGAATGAAGTCATTAATACTCGAAGCAACAATTCGCAAGGATAAAAAAATTCAATTTTTAGATGGAGTCACAATTATCTAAAAAATATAAAGAATTAGCGTACCACGAAACTGAAGCTATCAAAGCTAAATACGACGAGACCATCAAGTCGATGAGGGCAACGCTGCAGCAGGAAATCGAAACGATTAAAACGAAACATGACGAGACTATTAAATCTATGAAAGCGAAGCTGTTAGTGATGCGAAATGAGAATGCCGAATATTCGAATGCTATTAAAGTAAAATGGCGGGCACTTGAATTATAAAAGCTTTGCCTAGAACGTGATTTTTAAAGTATGTCTCTTTAGGAATTTCTGAAAAAATTGTATGAGCAACAAAGAGATCAGGAATTACAAAAAAGTTTGAACGAAAGCGAGCCAAGTGAAAAGGAAGCTCAGGAAACTGCATGTACTATTTTGAACATGACACCAGATGAGTTATCAGGCTTCATTAATGGAAAAACTAAAAATTCGGTAAAGCGTTAAATACTTCATTTTATAATATAAATAAATTAGAAATCATTTACAAAAAATAACAATATAAATCGTAGATTAATCCTTGGATAACCGAATTGAATGGAATTACGGCAACGAATCACTTTGCTCAAGGTCTGTCAAAGTTTTTATTGAAGAAGGTGACAAAGACAACGAAGAAATAGTAAAGGATCGAGAAGGAATAGGGTTCCACGAATTCTCTTCAAAATCATGTTTCTGTATATTATTAAAGACGATGTACCATATCGCTTACAATATATATAAGGCATACGTATAATTTAGAAGTAGATAAAATTCACTACTTTATTCCAATCATAACGAAATTAATGGAAAATTAAATTCCCATAAGTCCTGTATTAAAAAATTACAATTCAGTGCTAAACATTAAAGCACAAGTGGTGATTCATAAATAATAATGATAAATAAGTAAAAAACGGGCACTGCGTAGATCACAATATATTTCATCATAGCAGTGTTTTTAATTTATAATTCAATTATCATTGCACACCAATTCCATTGCATATTTAATTCAACGTCAATAATACCCATAATCCTATTTATCGAATCCCCTTTATTTAGTGAAAAGAGACCATAATTAGATTGTGGATGTTTATGCATATATTATACTTTTCCAAACGTAACTGATTAGATTTCGATTAAATCAGAATTGAAAATTGTTTTATTCTCTAACTGGATATTACTACACTTTCGATGCAGAAACATCCACCATAATGCATCAATGTAAAAGCGAACGGTATTCAAAATTCTCTACGAAATTCTATAGAAAAAAATCATTCCTTATTCAGTTATCGCTCTGCAACTCACTGGAACCAGTAGCATCGGGTGCTTTTTGCAACTGAGCATTCTGGAATCTTTCATAGCCATTACTCTCACCAAAAATTTTTCTTCCGGAAATCCTTTCGTCATCCTTTACGCTCACTTCCGTTCCGATTTGCACCGGCCAGGGCAATTTGCCCTCGTTCCTCGCCGATACCTGATTGGCCAACTTTCTGTCAGTCTTCTGATCAAACGGATCGTTGTCCCGAAGATTTTCCAACGCCACTTTTCGGCGGCTCTCCTCATCAGGATAAGAATAAGGTTTATCCACAAAACTTGATCTCTTCGAGTAATTGTCGTAACCATCGTAAAGATGTCTATATCGGTATCTGCTAGGATCCACGTTCCCCGGAATGCGTTTATACGTACCATCCCTTGAAGTGGGAGTCCTTGTCCCATCCACCTGATAAGGTCTAGGGTAATTCCTCATGTCCACAGGTTTCCTGACTATTTCCGGGAGAGTAGCGTAATAAATAATTCTCTTAGGCTTAGGCGTGGGCCTACTGCGACTATAGAGGTCAAAATCCTCGTCTCTGTATCGATCATAGTAAGAGTAGGGGTAATCATTGGGTATACGCATATAGTATTCCCTCTCCATCCTGTACCGATCAGGATAGTAATAACTATAGCCACGACGATAGGCTAAGGGATCGTAATCTCGGTCTCTGATAGAGTTCCGGTACCACGGGAAGTCGTAGTCGTCGTAACCTCTACCAATGGGCATGTCCCGGGCCTCACGATGATCGTAGCTCCTTCTGTGGTGGCTGGTCACGAAATCGGCCCGAGGTGCTTGATAGCTTCTCACACTCGGCGCGTCCTCGTCGTCTGTCGTTTGTTGAATCATCTGATCCAAGTTAGATCTGTGAGGAAACTCTACAGACAACGGTTGAGTGGACCAGTTGTCCGGAGAACTCAAACGAACCTCCCGAACGTTTTTTGTAGTAGATATTTGCTCTAACTTGGTCTCGTTCTCTGCGTCACGACGAACTCTCGTTATAGGCGACTTCGTTTCATCCTTTATTGAATCTTCGACACTCTCCGGCTGTAGAACAGTCATCATAATACCTGTTTTAAAAATCTTATCATTGATTTGTGCGCTGTCCGTTTTTACGTCATCGGACCCTTGATCTCTCTGGTCTTCGCGTTTCTCGTATTGACTGTAAGAATTCTCAAATATCGGTTCCAGTTGATCAAGAAATTTCTGACTGAACACAGATGGTTTAGATATAGGGGCAGTAGCGAAATCTAAGGACTTTTGTTCCGAATTTGGATTTCTTTGAGCTGTTTCAAACGGATTTAGATAACCCACACCGCTCACGGTGCGAACCTCGAATGCCGATGAATCGAGACGCGGCCATGACGGGTGATTCCAATGGGCCACGTACGGAAGAACTTGCCATGCTTTTCCGATTCCTGCCGCGCTGATATCCGTCGCCAGAAGCAACACAGATATTTTCAGCAGAAACAGCCGCATGTCCGTTTACCTGAAACAAAATATTTACTAAATATTTTATAATTATACAATAAACTAGTATTGCAAATCTATCATTTTTCTACATTTTATAGACTGATCTGTTTGTGTGCATAAATTATACTGTCGAACAATTATTCTGAATAATGCTTGCTAAGTTCAATATTTGAAAATGTTTAAAGAGAATTATATTCCTATGAAAATAGATTTTGTGGATATTTAATAAATTTAATTATAAAAAGGAAACAATGCACATATGTATACATATCATGTATAGAAGATAAAGGACTTCCTAAATATCGTTTTTTAAATCGACACCATAAAATCTTTATTTTACATAAAAATCTGCAGCCTGATGATAATATCCCCTTCTGAGCGACAGTGTATGTATAAATTAACCGTGAACGTCAACAGAGGCTTTCACCGAAACGGTACGACAGAGGCATGAAAGCCAGGCGGACAGTGAACAGGCGACGTTTAATGACCGTTCCGTCCGGTAAATCCGCACGGTCAGATGAGAATCGTGTCCTCGCCGCCGATTCCCCATAACAAATATAATTTCCCAGCCAGCCGCTTCCGCGGCATTATACCACCAGTTCCGGGCAACACGCAAATCCGGCGATTGTTCACTCGACTACATTTACCATAGCATCCTCCCACGAAATCGAACCAGAATTCAAGCCGTGCGCGCTTGCGAAAAGTTCAATGCACCAGCGGTAGGGAACGATCACGCTTACGAAATTTTCAACGACAATGAACGCCGTTAAAAAACACAAAATTCGATGCAAATCGTTTCATTCGACACCCGTTTTTGTTGCTAATTTCTATGTACTTCATATTTGATTGTTATTTTGAGAAAACGAAACGAAATTTTAGTTCTGAAATTTTTTCCAATGTCAGAAAATCTTTATGTACGAATTGATAAAATTTGTTGAAATTGATAAAATTGAAAAAATCTCACAAAACATAGAAATGCCGCTGTTTTTTTAAGTCTCCGATAAAATTGACTTATCTTGTTTTAATCGCTTCAAAACGTCTCTTCCGTGGACCGTGTCGGGCAAAACGTTATATGCTAGTCGCGACAGGTTTTTGTCCGGATGTTGCACGGTTAAGAACACGGCGGTTTACATTGTGGCTGCGAAAAAGGAACGCAAGAGAGAAAGAAAAAAAAGAATAGACAGGCGAAGGATAGGACGTCTGGGCATAGCGGAACAAATCTTTGGCAACGGAGAATCTCCTCCGTTAGCATCGACTCTGCACAGTTCGCTTTGTGTTATACAGTTAGCTTTATGGGCCTTTCTGTTTTGCTTCCATTGATTCATGAAGTAATATGCTAATTACGCGATACAAAATTACAGGTTGTACATTGATACCAATTCACTTATAACAAGAGAATAGAAGTTTCAGTTCTGCAATTACACGTGTAGTGAAACAAATAACTTAATAAAGAGCATAAGAATCTCTTGCTTATTAAAAAACTGAAATAAATATTTAAATATAATAAAAATAATATATTTAAAAAATATAAAGTCATATAATAGCTTGATACTAAAATTCTTCCTAGAAAAAACTACACTTTAGTATTTGAATGTATACATATTTATATCCCATAAATCAAATTGAAATTATATGACAAGATAGAAAGAAATGCTAATTTTTTATATCGTAATGGTTGTTGCTAATAAACAAAATCTAAAAAATTCTAGCATTTATAAAACTTGCAAGCTTTCCTTTGGGTTTTGTCAATTAGTAATAAATATTGTACCTGAATTCCGGAGCCTGGTTCTAAATGTCGTTGACTGTCTGATGTTACCACGATTACTACGGTTCGTGAACTACGGCTTCCCAGTTTGCCTCGGCTTCGTATCTGCATACCTAGTGCTGTTGTCTCCACTAAAACGCGCTTCACCCCTCTACTCTCGGGCCTATTTATCTACCGTTCTCAATTGGTCGAGGTTTTTAACTGTAGTTCTTGTACCGAAAGATAGGTAAATGACTTCGTGCACCACTATGATCGAACATGATCGTTTGAGTTTATCAAAACCGGTACAACAACGCATTAGTGTTTCGATTGTAGTTGAAACATTAGAATAATAATGACTGAACTGCAGATTTTTATACGAAATAAATCTATTGAGATTTTTTTTACTCTGCAGAAAGAACAATATATATTTATGGATAAGTATAACATAACTTACACATTACACACCTCTTTATATTTTCTGCATATTCAGGTATTCTTTAAATTCGTATAAACCGCGTTCTGGTAATGGATAAAAACAAAGATTTTTTTGGTCACTCTTTAACATATCGTGGCTCGATGCAGACTGCCACCCCCTGAAGAGACTTTTACGTCATTGCTTATTCTTAAGATCATCTTAAGCATTTGCTATCCCTGTCTATCCCATGTTTCCAGTCCCTGTCTTGTACAAGAAACAGGGACTTAAGCAAATGCAAAAATTTACGATTTTATGGAATTGTCATTCAGTTTAATAATCATCACTTTCATGCAAGAATCAACATGTGTAGATTGAATTTCGACGAACTCGTTTTCACTTTGCCCCACAGTATGCAATAATTACGCAGAATACAAAAAAAAAACGGAATAGAGAGTGTAGCCTGAAAATCGAATGAATATATTGTAAGCAACATAATAGGTAATAGCACTGTCATGCGCTGCGATGCATAAACTGGGGTGGAATTAAATCCGCGTATACATCAGCATCACATCAGAAAATGAAGAGCGCGAATATTGGCATAAAAGTAAAGTCTTGACCAGGTAACAAAAAACGTACAATGGTAAAAATATGAAATTGTTAACATCGAACTACTACAGTGTCATAAAAAAACCAGCATTTATAATTGAAGTTGAATTATTGGAGAAAATTACTTTCAATTACGGTGATCATATTTCTTGTAGCGAAATTAAAGACAAAAGAAAAGGTGAAAATTGAATAAATTATTTATTCAAAAGAAGAAAAAATACAATTGAACACAAAGAA